TGAATGGCAGGCTCAACAGTCAGTATGTCGCTCACCACCAAGCTGCCTCAAGGGTCCCAACTCCGGTGCTTTGTTACCTTAACAGCAGCAGGTGCGGCTGCTGTGAATCAAAAGCGTGATGGGTAGGCACCCCAAGCAGAAGTCTTCGGCTTTGCTGAGACAGCTTTCTCAACTTGGTCGTTTCTGATTATTTGTGATTAGTTTTGTGGGCATTCAGGGATGGAGGCTCTACCCGTAAAAGGGCTAAAGGGCTGCATCACGTATCTTCATGGTCCGCTGCAGCGTCCATAAACCAGGCCCCATTGATTTGCACTCCCATCGCACCGATGTGGTTCGGAACTCTTGTCCTTGAAAGGCATTTGAACAAAGCAAACTCCGAAATTCCGATGTTACAACTTTGAGGGGTACTTGACTCAATGGATCAACATGGATCCACCACCTGAGCGTGAAAGAAAGACCTGAGGAGCGCAGAAGACGAGGGGCAACTGCTCTTGCTTTGCTTCGCGATCACCACACTGAATCAAACGTGTTTTTCTTACCTTTTCTATTTTCATTATTTTTGTATTGTCTGTTTGTCTGTCTGTCCTGTCCTGTCCTGTCATGTCCTGTCCTGTCCTGTCCTGTCTGTCTGTCTGTCCGTCCGTCTGTCTGTCTGTCTGTGTCTCTCTCTCTCTCTCTCTACTCTCTCTCTCTCTCTCCCCTAGCAATGATTGCTTAGCTATCAAACCTGCAGGAACCGCTCCCTTTCGTTGTGTTTTCCTTTCCAGACATCCTGCAGGATACCTGGACAAGGGCAATCTGGTTCAGAACCATCGCAAAATCGCTCTACACTATCTGAGCCATGGCCAAGAGATGGGTCATACGTAATAAGGCATGAGACCAAACATACGTATTGAATGCCTTTTGAGGAACAGAACATCCTAATAATGCAATAAATCGCTTTTAACTTTTATCTGCTTTTACCATGACGCCTCATGTAAAGCAGTGTTATTAGTGTTATGAGTTATGATCTCTGTTTTCACTGGAACTCCCGCGGAATTCGTTTGCTTTTCAAGGTTGGGATGGCGCATCAGATTCTTCTCCAGTGGTTCATTTTTGACAGGAGGATGTTCAGTTCCAAGTGTTTTTTGAGATGGTGAAACCATTACTGTAAACAGACCGAAGACCTTTGATAAAGTCTCTAACATCATTTTCCCGTCCTTTGCTTTTGACAGAATCATGTGTGCCTGGGTATCTTGGCTACGGGTTGTGGAGACACCTCAGCTTCGGTTCGGAGATGTTCTTTGTGTTGCGAAGATGTGAGTGCCACTGTTACAGTTGGGTGACGACGTGGGGTGTTTGGGCGCTAATAGGGGACAGTGTGGAGAGCGTTTTTTTTCATAGCGGCCATTCTGCCAAGTGGTTCCCCGTTTATCAATCTAACCCCTCTACCAGAATGGTCTTGCATCTCCATTGTCTCTCGCAAGTGTTCCCCGTCTCGCTGCCTGTGCCTTCACCATCTCCCGATGTTTTCCTCGGCTCCTCGGGGGTCGGACACCGAGGAAGACCTGGTTTCTGCCGGACTTCACGGTCACACTTCTGGACATTATCTTGGAATTCTCCGACGGATCACAGACGGATCGCATCAGTGACCCGAATGAATCCAGGGGGGTTTGGTTTTTAAGTTTGAGGCATCCGTTTTTGGTGGTTTTTACCGGTGGGTCCGTGAAATCCTGGACCATATTATGTGATTGAGAGGTCCCGGGAGAAGGTTAACACTCATTGACTCGTCATTTGGGTGAGTGGGTGGGGGAGCGAGCTGGGCTGGCAATCACGTGAGCCCAAGCAAGTTCCTTGTGCGCTTGTAGATATTCTTCCGAAACAGTAGACACCAAGCGCAAGGGATCCTATTCAGCCTGAGCAACGGCTTCCTCTAGTTTTCGACCCAAACGTGGCCGCAACGAAGGCCGCGTTCGGGAAGTGGCCGCACACGCTCGCAGGTACCCGGGTGCTACGACTGCTGCGACTCTTCCGTGTGGTGCGGCTGGGGAAGGTGACCCGGTTCGCCTCCTTCTTGAGAGACAAGTTTGAATCGGAGGTGGCCTACACTCAATTCAGTGCCCTGGAGAGCCTGGCTCAGTCTTACTACTGTAATTCTTTTTGAGGGAGGTAAGGGCTTGATGTGTGATGAATTGGATGAATGAGACTTGATGATTACCTGCAAAACCCATGTGGGCATTTTATGAGCCCAAAGGACACCTCCTATGATAAACATGTCAATGATGTACTTCTAGTTGTATAAATAAAAGAAAATATATATATATATAGAGACGAGATACACATTATGGTTGACTGACACTTTGTGCAGGTACAAGTCACTGCTTGCCTGAGGCTTGTTGCTCCTGGTCATCGGGATGATGCTACAAGAGCATGTGATTGCTTGCGGATGGTTTGGCATTGCATCACTGGGCACTCACCCCACAAGTTGGCTTTCGGAGCATGGACATGCCAGCTCCTCCTTCACCTTGCAGTACACTGACAGCTTGCGCTGGTCCTTCTCGCAGCTGGGTATTGGGGGGACGGAGATTGAAGCAGTGAATGAGACCGAGGGCATCTATAGCGTGGTGGTCTCCCTGATCTCGTTGATGACCTTCTCGTCCATTATCAGTTCGATGACTTCACTGGTGAGTACCCTGCAGAGTAGGAGGATGGATCAGACACAGCAGTTTGGCCTCTTGCGACGCTTCCTGAGGACCAACCACATTGAAGAAAACCTGAGCCAGCGGATCACTCGGTTTCTCCACTACACTTACCATCAGAGGACAGCCAATGTGGAAGATCCCTACATCTTGGATTATCTCTCGAAATCCCTCCAGGCCAGGCTGGATCTTTGACATGTGGGCGAGATCCCTCAACCTGCACTCCTCCATGACCCATCACTGGGTTTTCAGGTGTGCTTCCCTTCGCTTTTGCAACGAAAACGGTGACCTTTGGCAGGATGGAAGCCACCTTGCAAAACTGATCAGCGAACGACATCCACCCCTCAAGTGAAAACGCAACCTAGAACCTGCAAACATGATGCACGTTCGACTAAAAGGCTTGGGAAGTTCTTGTGGTCAGAGTGGTACGCGCCGACACTACCGCAACATGATAGACACTAAAGCAACCATTAACCCGAGATTTTGCAATTTTTGCACAACTCCTGAGACCTCCTTCAACCCTTTTCCCATCTTTCTTCCAGCCTTTGCGGGGGAAATCCTGGCAAGGCGGACTTGCAGTTGGCGCGCTACAAGGCGGTCCTCACGCAGATGGACTTCTTGTCAGACTTGTTATCAAGCCCCCTGCTCTCATTGCAGGACCTTAGGGTGGAGGCCATCGCTTCTAGGTTGGAGGCCAGCGCTCTTCGGTTGGAGGCCATCGCTATTAGTTTACAATATCATTCGAGGGCCCCTGCTCTCATTGCAGGATTGACTCACTTGAGGGTAAAGTTCGAGGAATCATTTGAAGGGAGCTCGGGATGTGAAGAGAAGACACCCGTGTTGCAGAAGTCTAGGATTCTGGGCAATGGGATGTGTGGGCACTGAGCACAATGCAAGTTTTGTAACGTTTGGTATGTATTTGGGTATCATTTACTTTCTTACTACTAGGAACAAGCAGCTACTAGGGGCTCTTGGCCTTACTACTAGGAGCAAGGACGCTACTAGGGGCTCCTGGCATCGCTACTAGGAGCATTCTTACTACTAGTAACAAGAAGCTCTTCGGCATTACCCTCACGTTCCAGGAGGGCAATGTGGTGCGGAGCATTGCGCGCGAAGCAGTCTCAGTTCATGAAGTGGTGGCCCGGCTGCTGTGGACCAACAAGGGAACACCATATGGTAGTTCACTTTGACTTTGTCGTGTGGGCCCGTGGGCCGAGGTTCTTTGATTGAATCCTGAGACATAGCATGACATAGCTACGTATGCTTTTGAAGCCTGAACTAGGAAGTGCTTGTGTGTTGTAATTGTGTTGCTTGAGAGATGCGATGCGCATTTATGTTCCAAACTCCAGACTTGCACGCTCTCGCAAACCACCGGGATGCTTCC